CCATAAACTAAGAAAAAGTGTCTTATCTTTCTCTAACTAGTTCTAATTAATAATTCAGAATATAAGGTGCATTTGACTTAGAAGCCACTTGGAGGATGTTAGACTATTCAGCAGTGACTCTGAAATACATTCATAGGTCAAGGTTCTAACCTTTGTTTGCTGTGAACTCCATTTGGAGATTGAATTCTTCTTCAGCAGGGCTTCTAGTATCTATTTAAAAAATAATTAATAAATAGAAAAATCAGTCCATAATGCAGCAATTTTGTTCAAATTCCAACAGTATTTCCCATGATATAAGAATAAGTTGGAATTCTTACCTTCTTGTCCCAGAGAGTCCCAAACACCAAAATGAATAATCCCTAGGAGACAGATAATTACATGCAGTTTGATGACACCAATCTTTTAATTGCCTTGTATTTATCCCAAACATTGTCCATGCTGACTATTTAAACTCTGAACTCTTCAATGAAAGGCATGTCTCTAACTGCAGCTCACATAATGGACTGCTGATGTGGTAGGAGTTTTCCAGGCCTGGCCTACTTAAATTGTGTGTATACCTGGTCTACAAAAGTGACAGAGACAGTTTGCTAGCACTAAAAATATTTTGAAGAAGGAACTTTTTATGGAAGACATGCCCTACTTACACCCCCCAGAGAAGCTAGCAGGCTTACAATATAAAAGGCAAGTGATTTTGGGCTGAAGTGTAGCATTTTTAGGTCGTTTTTAAGAGAGAGATTATACATAACTACTGTGTCAATAAATCTTGTTGCATTCAGTCATGTGCATTTTGGTCAGTTCTTCTCTTTATTATTAGTAATATTCAGCTGTTCTTGGTGACTTTCATGCTGTTTATACTCTCCCATATCTTAAATCCACAAGAGCACAATGTGATGCCACCAGATGCACTGGAAAGACCAGCCATCAATGAGACCAGCCATGTTCAAGCTTGCCCACCTCAACATATATGGGCTATTTTCTTGATCTGCAGGAAGGAGGTTCTTTCCAAAGCTACTGGCAAAGCTGGAAGTTATCTTTATGTCAGCTTTATCTATAAGACATACCTCTTAAGGCAGTTGAGAATGCAAAATGCTGCTGAATTCCTGTAATGGATATCCCAAAGAGCCCCTTGGGAATAATGATGTGTAAGGCAACTCTAATCTTACCCAAGCTTCTTTGTATTCCCCCTCCAGGTACAGCACTGCAAGAATGTGTCTACATGTTAAATAGTGGTGGAAGAAGCAAAACCATTAATATGTGTAACTCACCTGCAAGCCATTGAGCAGAGCAAAGAGGATGTGGAAAGCTGGATGGCTGTTTTCGATCATGGTGACAAGGCCCAGGCCCCAGGTGAGGCCTAGCAGTGGTGTCAAGATGGCCACACTTTTGCCAATTTGAAACAAAGAGTTCCTCTCCTGCTTGCTTGAGTTATCCCCAATAGTTGGCCTCAGTATTTTTATTATAACAACTGTGGTGATGAAAAAATTCGTGGCCACAATCATCAGGGCAGGTATGACGAAGGCCAAGATAGTTTTGCTCTCATCCCATTTAAGCCAGCAGGAGTCTGTTGTGTAACTGTTCCTCGGCAGAGTGACAGTGATGGTGATGACTGCAATGACAAAGGGACACCCATATCCTAGGCAGAATGCCAGTGCTTTCTGAGCAGTCTTGCTCGTGTTATGTAAGATGAAGACCAGTCTGTAGAAAAGAATGAGGCCCAGGCTGAGCATCCAGAAAAAGACACACAGGTAGAATAAGTGGATGAAGAAGGTGGCCACAAGACAGAAATCTCTGCTCATCTGCTGGTTTGTGGTCTTGATGTAGTCAGTGACAAGGAACCAGACGTTGGCAATCAGGAGTGATATGGCTATGTTGAGTATACAGACGTGGCGCATGTAGGAGGTTGTGTTGTTTGTCACGTGTTTCCAGACCAAGGATTCAATTATAATGCAGGTCACCAAACTCAGAACTGAAATGCCCAGGCAAATGTAGGTAATATAAGTTTCAGACTTTTCCGAGGATCTTTGTTCTGACATCAGCATGGAGAATGATGTCAAGTGATTACAGGAGCAAATAACAGAATCAGCAGAATCATTCAAGTCTCTGGGTGTGCAGCCATGAGGATCCCAGCCACCTCCATTGAGACTGAAGTTCCAAAAGACACACTGGGGATTTGTTAGAGACAAGTTTTTCTTTGCAAAGGTCATACTGATGTTGAACTTTTGGCTTCTGTTGCTGCTCACAGTTGTTGATATCACTAAGCCATTGACATGCTCATCCTTATTCCCTAGCAAAATACGTCCAAGGTTTGAGTACATCACACTGACAATTGTTGAATTTTGGGTTAGAGTCTGAATTTCATTTTCACTAATGAGGACAGTAGCTGTGAGGTTTTCCGTACTGCTGAAGTTCTTATAATAATCTGTGCTGCTGTTTTCTGTGACAACTATACCTTGTAGCTGAAGGCTGTTTGCCAAGACATGAGGGATGTTGTTATTAACTGGTTGGAGGTGCAAGGAAAAATTTTCCACTGACTTCAGTAACGAAGAACTTTTGGTTTTCATCTCTTTATTCAGGTCATCCCAAGCTTTAGTTGTGGAATCAGCCACAACTAAATCCACTGTGGAGAGGAAATTCTGGAACAAAACCAGAATAATGCTGTTACTGAAATCCCATATAATTTCTGCATGGTCCTAGAATTGCCTTTTGAAAACCCCCAGCATTTTCTTATTTTGCTCAATCCATGTGAAACTTCCAGTTGTTAACCCTCTGCATTCTCTGTTCTCAAGTTAAGGTTTCCAAAAGTGGAGCTGCATGGCTTTGTTTTTTTTTACATATAAGTTAGTATTTTTTCTTCTCTAGCCTTGTTTTCTTTCTTTGTCAGCTTGTGTGCTGTCTTTTATTTCTTGTTCATGTAGGGTTCTCCAGCTAAAAAACATCAAATCTCTTTTGTACTTTTCTGCTCAGAAGAGCAGAGCTTCTCCTTTATTCCTCACAATCAATGTTTCCAAGTGTTCCTGTGATATGTTTTGCCATTCATGTGTTGTAACATCTAATTGATTTTCCTTGCTTGATCCCTATCCTTATATAATTTCTTTTTCTTTCTATATCTGTTCCTACTCATAAAATCAAAGACTCACAGAATGATTTTGACATTTAAAGACCATCTAGTCCAACCTCCCAGCCATGGGCAGGGACATCCAACCTGGTCTTGAAGACTTCCTGTGATAGGAGATCCACAAGTTTTCTGGGCAACCTGTTCCAGTGTCTTACCACTCTCATCATAAAAAATGTCTTTCTCATGTCCAATCTAAATCTACACTCCTGCAGTTGAAAACCATTGTCTTTTGTCCTGTCACTAAAGGTCATTGTAAAAAAGTCTTTCTCTGTCTTTCGTGTAATCCCCCTTTAAGGCTGCAATAAGGTCTCCCTGGAGCCTTCTCTTTTCCAGGCTGCACAATCCCATCTCTCACAGCTTGTCCTCGTAGCAGAGGTGCTGCAGCCCCCTTGACCATTTTTGTGGTCCTTCTTGGAACCTGTTCCAGGTGGTCCATGTTTTTCTTGTGCTGGGGACCCCAGAGCTGGACACTGCCCTGCAGGTGGGGTCTCACCAGAACAGCATAGAGGGGGAGAATCAGCCTCAACCACTTCACGTGAACTGCTGGCCATGCTTCTTGCTACCTAGGCTGAAGTAAACACTGCTGGCTCATGTCCAATTTCTCATCCATCATTCCTTGTCCTTTCCTCTAACCTAGAATGCTATAGATATTTATGGGTCCCTAGAAGATTTCTAGTTGGTGAGCCTACAGCAGTCCCTCTTTCATGCATAGGCTCCTTGTCCTTATCATTTTGACTTTTCATAAACTGTTCTTTACTGTCATTTCATCTACTACCTTTAATACTTTCCTGTTCCTGACCTTAACCAACTGTGAAATTTCTTCAGGGAGAATGTTGCCCTCTGTGACAAAAGGGGCCAAAGGGCTTGACAATATAGGTAAGACTTAAAACCTTACTTGAATAATGGACTCGTTTGCCTCTGCTGGGATAGAGGAGATCTTATCCAGGATTTTCACGATCGCAGCCAGGTTTGCAGAAGAGCTGCTTGTGTCACTCAACTCCTTTTTTGTGTTTTTCATCAGCTCTTTAAGGTAGTCAGGTAGCATTGCTTTTGCCTGAGGACTGGTGACCAAGGCCTGGAACAGAAGATAACAGTGTTATCGCATGAGTGCGGGTTGCCTGGAGCTTCCACGATGGCTACCCCTATGCTAGTTAAATAAACAGAGCCAGGGTAGTTCTAGACACACGGGTAGTGTTCAACCCTCTGGCCTTCCAGAACAGGGTGTCCTAACTGAGTACTGAGAGTGGTCTCTTGGCTCTGCTCACTTGCAGACTGCTCCTGGAAATTTCAAGGGAGACAATAATTGGTCTGGGCTCAAACCATATGAGGGAGCAAACCAGCAAATTAAGAAAAAACAAATTGAGTAGCTCTGCCTCTGACTGGGACCTTGCGGTGCTCAGTTTACTAAAATAAATACAGTAAGTATTTGATGAAAGAAAGATAATTGTTCTTGTCTAACCCGACTGGGGGACGGGTGACTCTGGATGGTTAGTAGAAGTGAAGAGCCCCATGGTAGGATACCCAGGCTGAAAACTGAGGTCCAGCTACTGTCTGTGAGGTGCAGTGGCTTTTTTTTTTGGCACCTTCTGAACAGGACTTGTGGCTGAGGCTGGGCAGTGGCCCAGGGTTGTCCCTACTGCATCATTGTTAGTGTACTCTGGAGGACTGGGCTTGTTCTGAGGAGCACTGCCTGAGCATGGTTCAGGGAGCACCCCAGGCCAGAGCCTGCTCCTGTTGGACACTACAAGTAAGGAAGGCCCCCTTGTATGGGGGAGAGAGCATTCATGTGTATGGATGTTAGCTATGCACTGCCACATGCCCTCTGGGCCAGGGAAGGGGACCTAGCCTCTCTCACTGATATAGCCAATCACTCTTTATGTCTTTAAAAAGATATTTTCAATTAAATACTTGATTATTATTTTTTTTAATGCTTCACATATTTAAGATCAAACTAAGGAAAAAAAAAAACAAAAAAACACTCAACAAAAATTTTTGCTGCCTCCTACCCACCCACCCACAACCTCTAAAAAACTCATAAATGTTACCTGAGCACTAGTCAGCAGCCTGTTTACTGATACAGAGACACAGTAATCCTTTTCAGGCTTCCATGACTTGTTGCAGCACTTGTAGATTCTGTTTCCTTCGGTACAAACACCTGTAGTGTTTAAAAACTCGCAGCACGGCTTTTTTATTGTGCTCCCTTCTCTTCCAATGCCAAAGTTATCTGAGCATGAAGCTTCCTGATCTGTATTGAGAAAAAAACCTAGATGTAGAAAACTAAGAAATGGAGATTAATAATGTACCCCCACAAAGCCTGTGGTCTCCTGAAGTTCAGAGATATTGAAATTGGGATTTCAGCCTGCTCTCTTCCTTGATTATGATCTTTCAGAGTATGTATCTTGCATTCCCATTTTTTTTGAATTTTGAAATTAAAAAGAAAATTGAATAAAGTCTCTTGTTTTTGAGTACTGAATCAAACTGACAAACTACTACCCGAAGTTTTAGGGTTTGTCTGTTAGGTCACAGGGTTAGACAGGGGTGGAGTGGGATCATGTTGACCACTACATGAACAATAATCCACACAGTTTATTCTGATAAGGGACTCAGTGTTGTTGCAGCACTAATAGGAAAGTCTTTAAGACCTTGATAGTGAGGCCTCAACAGCTTTTTGTTAGACAGTGAATCTTGCTAATTGCTTTTGATAGGGTTATTCATATCAGTAAGGATCTGCTGATTAAAATAAATAAAATGCCTATTTTTTGCCTAAGAATCTGCCCACATTTCTGCATTTCTTTTTTTCTTTTCAATATAAAACAAGAAACTGAAATATCTGGTCAGAACTAAACATCAAAACTGGATTCAGTCATGTTGAATTCTACACAGAATTTCCTGCAGAGCTGACTAGAATCTGGGTCTGCTCAAGTCTCTGCAGCACTTCATGGAGGTTCCCATCAAAAAAATCTTGGCTAGCAAAAACTGCTTCTGTTAGGTGCTACCAGTGATAAATTTGTGGCATCTGCTTTAACAAACATACTGGGATTTCCTATTTGACAGCTGTAACTGTTTTCTTACCAGGTATCACATTCAGACTTATATTGTCACTCTTGACTTCCTGTCCCAGGCGGTTAATAAACTTGCAATATGCTGTGAGGTTGTCTTTGTCACATTCTGTTTCTGTGTAATTGCACACATAGCAGAAATACTCTCCTTTTTGGTTTTTCCCTGTATGGAGCGATTAAGATAGGTTAACACAGATTTGGGGTCAATCAGCTAGCAGACAGCAGAAAGCTTCTGCAAAACTTTGTTTCTGTGGGTCCTAGAGAAAAACAAACAAACAACCCTTCCTTTTTGGGAAAACTTCCTTTCTCAATGCCAATCTGTTTCTTACTCCCTACTTCCAGCAGTTGCTTCATGTTCAGTACATTTTTATTTACTGGTGTAGGAGCAAAGCCTGCCCAAACCCTCTTCTACCGTGTAGGAACCAAAATTTGCTTTAGAAACCATTTTGGAAAATACTCTTCCTGCTTCTGCTTCTGTCACAACCATTTCATTTAGGCTAGGATACTTTTTTTTTTTTTTTTTTTTTCCTGTTCATATAAAGTTCTTTTGAACTCAGGATTTAAACCACACTCCTATTGCTTTTCAGTATGGCTGAGGGTCCTTGGCTGCAATCTCTTCCAAGAAGATCTTGCCATTTTTTGTAGCAACCAAAGGAGTCTTCAATCTTACCCTGCTTTACACTTCTGCCTGTTCTTGTTGCATTCCTGTCTGTTTTCTGAGTTAGTTTAGGTGGGTCGTCGTTGCTTTTTTCAAATTAACTATTTTGTAACCCAATTGAAAAATTGTACTATATAAAAACATGCCAGGGAAGCTGCAGAACTGCCCAAAATGTGAAGACAAGGAAACTTAGGCTTTTGTGTTGTTAAAGATATGTTACCTGTAGCCTTGAAAAAACCAAACAGAATAGTTCTTTGAATTGCATTCTTAAGATGTTATTCTACATTTTTCATGAATTAGTAATAATCTTCTTAAGTAATATTTACATGATACTCTGTTCAAGAAAGTGGCAGTGGAAGATGAAAGCAAATAAATGGAGTTCAGCAATTTCTGATTGGATCAATGCTGTGTATGCTCACTTCTCACTGCCTGGCAAGGCAAACCAAACATTGCATTTACCTATGATGTATTTATCACTACAGGATTCACTTCAGGTGCTCTTCTATTAATCTCAGCCATGCTCCCCAGGCATAGCAACCATCCTAAAAAATAAATCAATTTCTCCTTTTTTTTACACTCTCAGGAGTACCTGTGGGTTGTCGCAAGAGCAGTAAGTATGAAGTGGTGACACAGACCTAACCGAAAACAAACAAAACACCAAAACAAAACAGGGACTGGGTTGTGACACATGGTGCAACTAGTGATTCTGCAAGTGTATAGTTACTTACCAGCTTTACATTCCTTTTGTTGAACCACAAATATAACACTGTAATCTTTCGTGGTGTTAGCATCCACACAGCACTCCAGGGTTTGTGGCATTTTGCACTGAATAGATGCTTCGATGGGGTTTATCACGATTTGCTCCTGCAGAGGCAGAGGAATGACCTCGATTGTCACATTGGCAGAACTGTTCGAGAACTTCTGGGAGAATGTGCAGATGTAGGTGCCTGAAACAAGTCACATGAAAACCTGGTTTCATTCAACAGAAGTGCTCCTCAGCTTTTGCGTGGTCACGAGCCCTAAGACCAAACAAGTACAGTGTTGTTGGCAGCATCGTGTCGTGTTCTCCTCCAGCAGTTATGATTAGCAGGGCTAGGGGTGCTGTGAATTACCTGCTACAGAGATTTCACTGCCTTTGTAGCCAGTACAAGCCAGGTCCACTCACCATTCCAGTCCTGTGTGGCAGTATTCACCTCGAGCACAGATGTAGCTGGAAATCTGCTATTTTTGATGCGGGCCCCAGAGTCGATTACTATTTTCGTATTTCCAGACTGGAGTTCCCAGCTGATGCTTTCATAGTCACTCATGTCGCTTTCACACGTTACGTTGAATCCGCACCCCTCAGAAACGAGAAGCTTTGTGCTTGAAGGTATTGTTACCTGGGCTGAGACAACACAAGACAAATGGCACGTTACCGGGAGTCACTTGTTATAACCATTTGCTTGCAAAATGACACGTGCCACAGATTGTACTGAGGAGCTGGTGGTCTGTGACACGGCACCTGACTCACCTGCCCGGTAGTATGTCACTCGGATGTCGCGGCTGCACGTGGCACCGTGCTCGGTCTGCAGCTCACACGTGTAGGTCGTCACTGTACCTGACTGCTCAGCTATGCACAGTGAGCCACTGATGTTGAGCTTGTATTCCGTGCAGTTTGTACTGGAGCTGGAGACTCCTAGAGAGAAAGAAACGTTCTCTGAAGGGCTATGGGTGTCCAAAAATACCTGGGCTCTGGAAGTCACAAGCAATCGCTCTAGCTAAGGTTTGTGTGTAACCTTGGGCAGCATGGCACTTTTAACTCATGGTTGTTGGTTCATCCATCTCTTTTATTCTGGCAACAGTCACAGTGGTCTTCCAAAGGCCTGAAGATGACTCTCAACACAATGCTGGGCACCTGCTGCCAGAACCAGTCTAACTGAGAGCAACAGCACTGCTCAGACACCTCAAGGAAAAACACAGAATATTGTGGTTTAGCCCAACCTCGTTATCTGTGATACTTAGGATGAGTAAGATAAGTAAAACAGGAGTAAATACTGCAGATTTTAATGCCATCTTTTTTTGAAATAAACATTTGGAAGTACTCGACAGACATTCAACTTAAAGTCTGAAGAGTGCTGGTTTAGCTATAAGGGAAAAGCCCCAACAAAGCTGTTCCATGCTGCAGCTGAAAGAGCATCTGGTGTGAGAGCAGAGCTCCTGGGGGAAAGCCCAGCCACAGGAAATCAAGGGCACAACAGCTCACTGGGCCAGGATCACTCCTCTCTGCAAGCACTGCTGCACAGCAGCACCTGTTTGTTGTGGAAGTGACTGTACATGTGAGCTTTGAAGGTTCTCTCTCGTTTTGCCATCCTGCTTTCTGCTAAACTTGATTTACCATAAACAGTTTACAGTAAACAATCCATACTCATAAAATATTGAGGGCAATAGGCTGTTTATGTTTCATAGACATTTATGAGGTTTTATTTTGATGTTTTTATTGATGTTGTTTTGTAACTCTTTGTAACACGTTTACCTGGTGCTTTATTAACTCCTTATATTCATATTAGAAGTGAAGCCTTGTGAGATACTGCTGACTCAAATGGCATGGGATGTATCACAGCTACAGGTAGAGAGGGAAACTCTGTGGTCAGTATTTATCTATGCTGCAGCTGTTTCAAAGTGTTGCACCTGCCTCTCTTTGTTGCCAGATCTTAATATCTTGGTACACAGAAGCTTTTCATCCCCCAAAGGTGATTCTGGAGATAGTAGTAGAGGCTGATGCACTCTTTCTTGCTCTCAGAACTACACAATGCTGATGTAAGCTTTTTGGGAAAAGTATGATGCTGATATGATGCTGGTCCAGGCAGCTCTTTCCATCCAGGATGGCACAGTTCTAAACATCAGTGTCTAAGCATGAATGTGCCCAGAATCCCCCTGAGACCTGCACAACACATACGGAGTCTGTACCATGCTGTCCATCCATCATCCTTTACACACACACACACCTTTGGATCATACCCTGTATTCATCCCAGGACATGGCTTTTAGGCCAATTAGGAGCATAACTTTGAAGAATGAACAAACCTAGCAGGTGAAAGACAATCTGCTGTTAATCTTACCTGTAATATTGATTGCTCCGCTTACTTTCCACTCAACAGCGAGCGATGGTAGGTGTTTGTCAACACAGCAGGACAGGACAGGACTGTTCCTCTGCATTTCAGGACTGTTGCAGATAACATTAGTCTCGTTCAAGTTTGAAGTGATGTACAGAGGAGAGACTGCTATTGTTTTTGTGGCCTTGTAGAGCAGTGTGTGAAACCGATTGCTGGTTGAGAAAGTGCACCTATAGGAACCTGTAAATCATAGGCAATATCTTAGCACTGAGAACAAGTTTTGCACTTTATTTTTTCCTCTACATGTGGAGTTAGGAGTTGGAAGCTACTTCCACACCTGGTTTTCTCAGCTTCCTGCTCTGTAGTGGCTCTGCTCCTTGCTAATCAAAATGTACCCTTAGCTCATCTGCAGGATGCTTTCTGCAGACTCCTGGTGCCAAATGTATCCAGATTAGGCAGCTTCATGGGCACTTGTTGATGGGCACTTGAGAGGAGACTAGCACTTTGGGACTGAAACACTTAAAATCTGACTGAATTGGTGTTTCTGGGATCTGTATATTGCCCCTAGTCCACATTGAAATAGTATGTCCTGGTAAGAACATAGACTGACTGTGCAAAAGGATCCTGCACAGAATGGGTGAGAGAAAAGTGCCCAGGCTGGACTCCACAAGAGGTAGTATTCTGATTGTAGACACAATGCACAATACACATAGACTGCTCAGAGGCATTGCCAAAGAGCGCATAGTATTTATCAGCCACTCTCCCAAGGCACTTGTCCCCTGGATGCAGCCAGGCTTCCTTTTGAAATTGGCAATCAGAGTTCCAAATTTCCTTTCTCCTTTAGGCACTTGGGTTCATCTTTCCCATCTGGATAGCCAAGTGATTTTGGCCCCGTGACTGGTACCTCCCATATGTGTGCACAAACACCTGGTCACAGGCTACCCTTTTTGAAGCTGACTGTAAAATTCATGGTTGAAAGAGAAGAACTAAATGGGAGCTGGAGTCAAAGCTCTGATATTACATTATAATTCCTCTGATAACTCCTCCCAGCCATATGCCAGCAATTTACCCATTTCTGATTTTCAAAAAGCCCTTAAATGAACACATAAAAAACTTTAAATCCAAACCCTTGTTAATCAGGTTTTGTTTGCCAAAGGGGCAAGAGCCATCAAGTTCAACTACAGCCTCAAGTTGCTACATCAAAAGGGTGGGAAGGCCTCACAGCCATGTAGTCACCTCTGTCTCCTGTGATATGGCAGGAAAGCTGAGCACTGAGAACATCCAGGCCTGTACAGACACTTCAGTCAGTTCACATCTTACTGGCAATGCCAGTCAGGATATAGTTCATTAAAGAAAAACAAACAAAAACACCCTCTGAAAAAGTAGGAGGGACAGTATTTTTCACATTTACTTTAGGAAAATGCAGTCACTGCATTACTCTCTGCTTTTTAGAGACCTAGCAACACCAGAGATTTACATCTGCTGTTTTAATGATAGAAAATCATACCAGCATCTTTCATCTTGATGTTGATGATTTTAAGAATTGATTTTGAGGTTCTCCTTGACAGTCTTTTCTCCACCAAATACGGCAAACCGGGTGAGATGATCTCATCAAAGTGATGCCAGGTCACATTCTCAGATGTTGAATTTATCTCACAAGTCAGTTCTACTGTATCCCCTTCAAAAATGTCTACATGTGTCACGGTGAAGTTTGTCTGATCTGGGAAGACAAAGAGTGACATTCTGCATTATTGTGATTTCAGCTCACATCTATAGGTGTCTTTCATCTCACGGGAAGCCTGGGTGCTTCTCAACTCATATCCAGTTGCTTCTCAACTCAGCATCAGTTGCAGAGCACCACCTCTGATACAAGCTATACAATTTCCCCACAACATACTCTTCTACTTTCTTTGTCAGCCAAAGATCCCAAAAAGTATTATGCAGAGAGTTGGGAATACTAGCAACACCACTACTCTCTGAGTAGATAAACTGTGAGGAGAAGCAACCAGGTTGAAGGAATCCTCTGACACAGACAGTCCAGTGCACTGAGAGTGCAACACCTCTGGGGCACTTGATGGGGCAGCTGAGTTGTAACACACTGTCCAGTAGCAGCATGGAAAATGTGCTTCCCCTTCTGAGGAGACTAGGGGGAACCTGCTCTCTTGCAAACTGCAAGAGGTTTTTATTTTGTTGAAAGTGGGAAGCATTGGCAGCCTGATATAAGCTACATTCTGGAGGTGAACTTAAGGGTATTCAGTCTCTCTGCCATGGGGTGACTGTATCAGGGTTCGGTGGAATGGCTGGAAAGATTTGCCTTTCTGTGGGAGGTACTACATGCATGGGCATCTCACCTAAGTCCTAAGCTTCAGTGGCACAGGATGAAGTGAAACAGCCAGAGAAATAAATTTTATCTGAAGGTCCAGTACCAAATAATCAACAGTGTAAGGCAGGGAGGTGTATGGTTCAGGATAGAAATACTAAAGTAGAGGTTGAAGGAAAATACTGAGAGAGTTTGAAACTTACCAGTTACTTCTGTTGTGAAGGTAGTTGGGTTTATCTGATATGATCCATCTACAAACTGTGGTACCATTTTGTTGGAATTTGCTATCTGATGAAAGTTTGCTGCTCCTGCTTTTACTTCGTAGTTCACAAAAACACTTCCAGGCCTAGATATAAGGATGAGAGAAGCACTGGAATTAAATATCACTTCCCAAATTAAGAACACCTTCATGTGACATCTCCTTTGGCTGCTCTCTATTTCTAGTAAAATTCCCTTGGAAAACCTTAAATACAGCTGCATTTAAATATGTGTGGACTTTAGTAATGTCTCTTTTATCCAGATCCAATGTTACATCCTGAGTCAATGTACTGATGACCTAGGAAACCATGTTAGACTTACTCACATCCTTTTCCCTTCTTGGGTAGAATTCAGTCTTTCCCACAAAAGGCTTTGATCCAGATGGAAGATGATTGTGTTTCTTGGACTTTTGTGCAGTAATGAATTTTACTTGCAATCCTGTTTTTCACACTAATAGCAGGGCTCCCCTTTACAGCTATTACACCACTATTCAGTATGTATATGGGTTCTAGCCAGAGGAAATGTAGCCTTTGTTGACTGGGGTCTCCTTGAGACTGAACAGAAATATTTGTGTCTTCCAGGAAAAAATGAAATTGTTTACTTGCCTGAAACCAGTTACTGTTGCTGATACAAAGCCTGGTAAACATCTGTAGCCAGCATTAAACTGTAAACAAAGACATATGACATGACATAAGTCTGGTATATGTCCATCTAGTGTGCTTCAAATAAGAAATTCTTCATATAACACTGATGGGAGTGAGGAAATGTTGCGTGTCTGACAGAACAGGTGCTCTCCTCACTCTTAGTGGGATAAACTAGTATTGGTGCCATTCTGTGTACATTCATCTAGATTTAAGCTGGCACCAATAATGTGATTTTTTTTTCCATGCTTTTGGTGCAAAAGATTCCTAAATACTTCTGTTTCAACTGGCATATTAAAAGGAATGGGAATATTGTCATGGCCTTTCAATAGAGGTCAGCTTGGTAGCTGCCACTGCTGCACACTTTCCAGCTCCCCACAGAGGCAGTGACAGTGCATCTTATTTCCCAAGCACTTAAATGGTAAATACCATATGACTTAGAGGGCTTTCTACCTTCAGAAATGGAAAAAATTAAGTCATTACCGCTTTTTCAAGGTCAGCTTTGAATTTTCTGTATAAATCAGAAGAAGAATTCCTGAGATCATCCCAAAAGTGTGTCTCGAGTCTGACTGACATACTCATTACACTGGGCTTTCCCATACCACATGAGTCTGCAAGGAAAAACATTAACATACATGTAAAAATAATCCAAAGCAAGGTTTACAAAATTATTTCTTAGCTTTTTCTTCTAACTTAATCGTAGAATCTTAGAATCATATAATGGTTTGGGTTGGAAGGGACCCTAGAGATCTAGACCACTTGAAGAGGGTCCAGAGAAGGGCCACAAAGATGAGCAGAGGGCTGGAGCAGCTCTTCTCTGGAGACAGGCTGAGAGCTGGGGCTGTTCAGCCTGGAGAAGAGAAGGAGACAGAGAGACCTTATAGCACCTTCCAGGACCTGAAGGGGCTACAGGAAAACTGGAGAGGGGCTTTTCAGCAGAGGGGGCTGTGAGAGGACAAGGGGTCATGGTTTTAAACTGAAAGAGAGGAGATTTAGGTTAGACATCAGGAAGAAACTCTTCAGTGTGAAGGTAGTAAGGCTCTGGTAGTAAGGCTGTGGATGTCCCCTCCCTGGAGGTGTTCAAGGCCAGGTTGGATGAGGCATATGCAGCCTGATCTGGTGGGAGGTGTCCCTGCTCAAAGCAGGGAGGTTGGAATCTGATGATCTTTAAGGTCCCTTCCAACTTTAACAGTTCTGTGATTCTATGATCTAGTTCTGACCCCTTTGCCATGGGCAGGGACACCACCCACTAGTCCAGGTTACTCCAGCCTGGCCTTGAAAACTTCCAGTGATGGGACAGGCACAACTTCTCTGGACACCTGTTCTGGTGCCTTACAACTTTAAATATAAAAAAATTATTTCTTATGTCCAATCTAAATCTACCTTCTTTCAGTTTAAAATCATTACCCCTTGTCCTGTCACTACGGGATCTGGTAAAAGGTCTTTCTCCATCTTTCTTATAGGATCCCTTTAAGTACTGAAAGGTCACAATAAAATCTCTCCAGACTCTTCTCCTGGCTGAACAACCCCAACTCTCTCAGCCTTTCCTCACAGGTGAGGTGCTCCATTACTCTGATCATCCTCGTGGCCCTCCTCAGGACCTGCTCCAACAGCTCCATGCCCTTCTTGTGTTGAGGGCTCCAGACCTGTACACAGTGCTCCAGGTGGGGTCTCAAGAGAGCAGAGTAGAGGGAAAGAATCAGCTCCCTTGACCTGCTCGCCACACTTCTTTTGATGCAGCCCAGGACACAGTTGGCTTCACAGGCAATAGCCAGCTCAGTCCTGACATGCTGCTTTATCACACCTTCAACACTGTTCCATCTTCTAACAAGGAAATGAGTAACAGATGGATGAGTTCAGCACTGCTGCTCCTCACCTTCAGTCCGAGGCTCACAGTAAGGCCCAGAGAAGGGCATTTCCTTCATGAAGCCGCAGGGCAGGTTGTGTGCTGGGCTGGCAGAAGGGCAGGCCATCAAGTGGTGGCACTCTGAGCTTGGCCAGGCATATCCATCTTCACAGGAACAGCAGCTACTGTTCTCACCACTGGGCAGACAGACTAGTGTCAGACAGAGAGAGAAATACTGTGTGAATGGGAAACAGGGCATGACATATTGCAGGACATATATTTACCCTGCTGTGTCTTTATGCCAGTGATCTCAACTAACTGTTGCCCTTTCTGTGAGTTCACTTGAATGAGGCAAACATGATGCTATACTCATCACAACTAACCACAAATGGGAATCAGACTGGTGTAGGGATAAGTCTGATCAATTACTTTTAAGTAATTGAATGGAGATGTGAAACCTGATCCTAAAAATCCACCTGGCGTATTGGCTGGGGTCCTATGACAGTTTTCAAATTAGATATTTCTGTATTGCCTGGGCTGAAAGCAAAATGTATAGGCTTTTGAAGATTGCAAGAGTATGTAATAGTCAAAGTCCCTGTCGCTAGTGAGGTGTTGTGTGATTTGTCTGTATCCTGAGAGAGCTGCATGAGAAGGTGCCACGATCACAAAGCATTTTAAGAGATGCATTCTCTCTAAAAAAGAAAACAACAACAGCAACCAACACTGCACTGTAGATTTTTGCCCTCTTAATGTGGCATTGACAAAGTAAGATTCTAACAAAGTGTTTTTCACACATGGCATGTGACCCTGAAGGCCTTTAAAAACCCATTTGCATGTTGTTTTGAGAACTGATGAACACTTCCTTTCACTGCTTTATGGGACTGAGATAAGAAGGTACCAAATCTCCTCCTCTACTGTTGTAAATGCTTGGTGTGTTTGTATATCCCCAGCTGTACTAGTTTCTGTCTGGTATCTTGCCCTGTAAGAATACCTTCAGTGGGTAACATCAGGAAAAAAATGCATCTATGCAGCCTATCCCTGTCAGGGTCAGAGTACAGCCTCTTCCACCCATTTCTGTTCCAAATGCAAGTGGAGGGAAGTAAACAGTCTGATAGCCCCTGTCACAGCTTCCTGAAACTTCAAAGTAACTCAGACTGCTTGATAGTCAAACTGGAGCAAAACCCTTCGGCTCAGGCTTCCTCTGGCTTTCTCCCTTCCTTAGGAAAAGAAGAGCATTGAGGGCTATTCCTAATGCCAACGTTATATAAAGAAGGGTGGTGGGATACAGGTAACAAAACACACTGTTTGCTAGAGCTTCAGTTTTGTTGGGCCTCTCAGGAGGGAGCAGATACAGTTCAGTTTTGCTGATTTCCAGGCGTGATGGATGGTAAAACTGAGGGAGGTCAAACACTGGCAAGAAAAGCATGTCACCCAGGATATAAAACCAAATAACAAACTCACCTGTTGTGACGTTGATGTTTGAAACTGTCATTTCAACATTTGAAATATTTGTTGAAACTGGAAAACTAAGCTTCTTGAAATAGTCTTTGATTTTCTCCAGGTAAGATAAATCCATAAGGCTCAGTTCAACGTCAACAGTGTATTCCATAGGGGGAAGGTCAAATAGTAGCACTGAAAGAGAAATAGTATGAGACTGCAAAGCTGTGTGTGAGGCTAAATCACAGATGGATGGTGTCTTGTTCTGTATGTGGGCTCTTTGTTGCTATTTAATGGTAGCTTAGTGTGGCATTCTGCTTAGGAAACCTTCTTGCTTCCTACTCAGCAGATATTTTGCCCATATTTTATCTGCTGCTTGTCTGACAAAAGCCAGATTTCTTTGGTCTCAGAGCAGTAAGAAGCTGATATAAATGGCATAATATATACAGAGAAAAGCTGTCTCATCCCTCCTGTCCTTTGATTCAGCAAGAGGATGGGGTTGTACAGGATTATCTTGCGACCCCTGTCCTGCTAAAAGCCTTGATGTTTTTTTCTACACCAAGTATTTCAACTTGCATAGAAATTGGGCTCATATGTATCATCATATGGATGGCATCCAGAGGGACATGGACAAGGATGAAAAGTGGGCCCATGTGAACCTCATGAGGTTCAACAAGGCCAAGTGCAAGGTCCTGCACCTGGGTCAGGCAAATAACAAACTCACCTGTTGTGACGTTGATGTTTGAAACTGTCATTTCAACATTTGAAATATTTGTTGAAACTGGAAAACTAAGCTTCTTGAAATAGTCTTTGATTTTCTCCAGGTAAGATAAATCCATAAGGCTCAGTTCAACGTCAACAGTGTATTCCATAGGGGGAAGGTCAAATAGTAGCACTGAAAGAGAAATAGTATGAGACTGCAAAGCTGTGTGTGAGGCTAAATCACAGATGGATGGTGTCTTGTTCTGTATGTGGGCTCTTTGTTGCTATTTAATGGTAGCTTAGTGTGGCATTCTGCTTAGGAAACCTTCTTGCTTCCTACTCAGCAGATATTTTGCCCATATTTTATCTGCTGCTTGTCTGACAAAAGCCAGATTTCTTTGGTCTCAGAGCAGTAAGAAGCTGATATAAATGGCATAATATATACAGAGAAAAGCTGTCTCATCCCTCCTGTCCTTTGATTCAGCAAGAGGATGGGGTTGTACAGGATTATCTTGCGACCCCTGTCCTGCTAAAAGCCTTGATGTTTTTTTCTACACCAAGTATTTCAACTTGCATAGAAATTGGGCTCATATGTATCATCATATGGATGGCATCCAGAGGGACATGGACAAGGATGAAAAGTGGGCCCATGTGAACCTCATGAGGTTCAACAAGGCCAAGTGCAAGGTCCTGCACCTGGGTCAGGGCAATCCCTGGTATCAATACAGGCTGGGGGACAAAGGAATTGAGAGCAGCCCTGCTGAGAAGGGCTTGGGGATAATGGCAGATGAGAAGCTCAACATGAGCCAACAATGTGTGCTGGAACCCAGAGAGCCAAACTTGTCCTGGGCTGCATCAGCAGAAGTGTGGCCAGCAGGACCAGGGAGGTGATTCTGCCCCTCTGCTCTGGTGAGACCCCACCTGAATACATGTGATGGAGCCCTGCTCTCCTGGAAATGGCTGAACATCTGCCTGCCAATGGGAAGTGATTAATTAATTTGTCATTTTGCTCTACTAATTAAACTCTTTATCTCAACCCACACATTTTCTCACTTTTAGCCTTCGGATTCTGTCTCCCATCCCACCAGGGGAGAGTGAGAGAGCAGCTGTGTGGTATTTAGCTGCCAGCTGGAGTTAAACCACACCACCTACTCTCCCTGATGATCCCAGTTGGTTACCTCAAGAGGTGCTGTCCCCAGTAGTGATTTCACCCTTGGCTTACCAAAACCCTGCTCTGTTACCATGCACTTGGGTACGTACTGTTTCTCTTTTGCCTTTGCATCTCTGGCTGGAAGCTTTCCTGTCCTAGTGCACTGTCAATCTGTGGAAAAAAGAGAGTGAAAATCTATGAAAAAAAGAAAAAGAAAAAAAAAAAAGAAGTGTGGAGTTTTAGCTGCTGTTGTTGATATGAAAGAATTAGCAAAGAAAACACTGGCATAGATATTTCTTTCTCTCCACCAATCTTTGCCTCTCTCTGCCCCACCTTTTCCTCTTTAAACAGAACATTTATATCTTCCACGCAGGGGAATGTTAAGCACCAGCTGAGGGATGCACTGAGTCTGCAGGTGTGTGTTTGTGTGTCTCTGCAAGGCAATTGTCTCAGCTGAGCTGAAATTCCGTGGCTGAGCTGCAGACAGGCTGTGGGGCTGATGCAGTGCTCTGAGTCTTGGGTCAGCCTTGCCAGCTGCTGGGGAGACCTGGCCACTCAGCCTCTGAACCCAGAGAATGGACTCCTATTACCTTTTGCTTTCCTCTTTGCTTTGAGCTTCCAGCTCTGCAGCAGCAAAGCCACCCTGGGTAGGAGTAGAAAGGGGGTTGAAATGTCTTGGCTCCAGCTCAGGTGTCAGGTCAGCTGTTTTGTGGGCCATCAGTAGTACACAGTTGACCAGGGCAGTGGTGGCACAATTTCAGCATGACTGGGTTCACACAGGGTGCAGCCAAGTCAGATGCAGACTATCTTATTTTTGTAATCATGCCCTAAAAATACACTGGCACCACAGTTAGCAAGAAAGGCTAAAGAACAAGCAAAGATGCAGGCAGGAAATTTGCAGCCTTGCCAGCTTCTTGAGTCCTACTGAAATCTTTATTTACAGAAAGAGTGAATAGCTTGGCAACTCTTAAGTAATCTCTCTACATAAAGGAACCATCTGGTGTGTGATTAGAGCTGGGCTTCCTATCACAGCTGCACTGGCAGTGAAGATCCCAAGGTGCATTGGCTTTTTTGCACTGCTAGGGCTGCTGCCTTTTATCTTAGAGGTTGGCTGGATGAGTTATAGAAAGCCCACTGTGAACCACTTCTTCCACCACGTTTGGCCTCAGTGGTTTTCTGTTTTAATTATTCTCCCAAACAACTACAGAGTGTATGCTGTGTCGTTATGTATTTCACACCATTAAGTGATGATTCATTTGCAGGATGAACCATGGATCAGTGGTGCTAAAAACCAAAGTGTTCCTCTTTTCATGAAAGTGCCAAAGTGCTGAGCTGGGACCAGTTTGAAAAAAAACCACAGTAAACAAGATACCTCATCACTATTAGATACCTGGCAAAGAGTAGACAGGGCTGCTGGAACCAGCTGTAACTTGGTTTGGTGGCAGAAACAGCTAAGGAATTCCTACCTCCCTTGTTCCCTCTGCTTGCCCTTTTCAACCTGCTCTAAAAAGCACATTGTGTTCTGGTCAGTCCATCAGAACTGAGGTCCCTGTGCTGCTAGGAGCTCAAGAGACATGTTAGAATCTGGTTTTGTCTTGGTAACGCAGAAGACAATATAAGTCTTTTCTAGTTTAATAAAACTGTGACAGACCAATAGCTTGTAGATTTGTAGACTCATTATCTTTACCAGAATATATCTTAACTTCATTTAGTCAGTCCCTTTGTTTCTCTGTTCCTCTTTTGTCATTTCTACTTAGGGACTATTTCTGCAGAAACTGTTACAAAACCCACGTACAGGATGATGTGCAAAACAGCCTTCCAGAAGGCACACTATTGATGAAGCAAAAGAGGTGAGAATTATTGAAAAGCAAGAAATTGAAGTAAAGTCTGAGTTCACGTGCAACATGTAAACTCAAGTCCCTCAGGAGTGGCATTTTGGTCATGTGTACTCATGGTCTATTGTCACAGAATCATTTAATTTGGAAAATACCTTTAAGATCATCAAGTCCAACCATTAACCCAGTGCTGCCAAGTCCCCCACTAAACCATGTCCCTCCACACCACATCTACATGGCTTTTAAATATCTCCAGTGATGATGACTCCACCAGTTCCTCGGACAGCCTGTTCAAGCAGGCTTTTGGTGAAGAAATTTTTCCTCATACCCAATGTAACCCTCCCCTGGGCACAACGTGAGGCCATTTCCTCTTGTTCTGTCACTTGTAACTTGGTAGAAGAGACGGAAACAGCGGTGAGACTCCTGTCACCTACCTGTAACCACCCCCATGTCTGAGCTAGTTTTGTTGACTTGTTTGGTTTCTTTCTCTCATAGGATGGGTGAATCCCATCCAGAAACAGTGACCACATAACTGTTCCCTCATCATAGGCCCAGAGACAGCAATTTAAATCCCTGCAGATTAACACAAGTGAGAAATCAGGTTTGCTCAGTTCCTTCTGGAGAAGCTTTAAGACTGGGAAGCAAGAATCCAGCTCCTGCATTTCTCCATCTCTTTCACACACTGGGGAGACTCTGTGTTCAGTTTCTCCACCTGATCTTATAATGACTTCCTCCAAGGTTTTGTCAATGTAAAGGACAGCTGTAGCAGCTGGGTGCTACAAGAGACCAGATGAAAACCAGTGGGGTTGGCAAAGGATACTCACTATATATTGCATGAATGGGTTGAAGTTTGAGTCCTGTGATGTCTGACAACATGCTGTGACCAGTAGAAAGAGGCACTGGAGACCTGCTGTACTTGGGGATGGCATTTTGTCCAGTGACTTTGCTGTACAGTCTGAAATGAAAATTAAGCAGAAGGATCAGGGCTTTTCCAGCTGACTCCCACAGCAGGCAATACCAGCACGCTCTACAAAACCAGTACGTTCAGACTTTTTCAGCACACTCTGCCTGTTCCCTACATCTTCTTCCTCTGCCACTGTCACCAGTCTTTTCCCCTCATATTCCTTTAATTTTTTGCCCTTCAGCAGTACCTGCTCAGAGTGGTGAGGGAAAGAAATGGCTTGTAGAAAGCAGAGTCCTCAGCAGGGTCCTGACAGGGACAAGTGAGGTGCTAGAAATTGATCTGCCGTGAGAAAAGTTAACTTTGCATCTTCAAATACTTCTCACTGTAGTTCTTGGCAAACACACAGCCAGAACATGAGGCCCTAAGGGAGGGCCTGTCCCATTGCAACAAGGAGAACTCTGCCACTGACATTGTCCCACTCTGGAGAGGGCTGTGGTGATATCGTGGGCTCAGCTAGAGGTTTCTGCCTGTTTGTTACCCCTTGACTAACAAGGGAAACAATGAAGAGTGTCATCTGCTGTGTAATTTGGAGTTTTTATTATGTATCTCCATTAATTGCACTGGTACTAGTAGATGAATAACCTAGAACATGAGAGTACTGACACATCCAAATTGGTGCCTGAAATCAAAAGCCAGAATAAAACAACCTTTTCCAGCTCATTAAAACCTAAACTAATTTACTTATTCAGTAGATTGGATGATGAAACATAAAGGGAGAGGCAAAACATGCAAAGACCCTTATAGCAGGTGCTGACAGGTTTATGCAACCAGAGGGAATAGAGAAAGGGAGCTAAAGAATATGTAAAAATATCTATTCTTCTATATGCACTTTCTGATTATTCCTAACAAAGCACTTCCCTAGCTACAGAATGAACAGGTAGCTACAGGGGAAGGCAGAACCCAAGCAGATAAAGAAAATAATTTTAAGGAAAGCACTAAGACTCTTTGACAGTAGTAGCTGAATGAATAAAAACAACTTGATTAAAATCATGGCCCTTTGTAAAATTATGATCTTTTTGTCTTCAAAATGCTGTTCATACAACCTCAGGCTTTGAAAGGCTGTGACTCAGCAGGTGAAAGCAGAAAAATCAGCACCTCCTGAGGTGATAATGAACATTGCCTGCCTATTGCCACCACATTGCCTATCAGAGCTGGTGCTCTCAAATGGACAGGGCACTTGAGTGTGATTTTCCTGCACCAAAGACCCTGTGGCAGAAAAATTATAATATGAGTATGATATGTGGGCTCACCTCGTGGATGAAAAGAGAGCAATGAGCTTAGAGCCAAGCAATGTACTTTATGTCACTGATGTGGATTTCCAGCTGGTGTTTGTCAGGGTTTCTCATCAAAGGTGGTTCTTAAGGAGATTCATCTGCAGTGAGACTTCACCTGGATAACGACCTGGTTAAAATATAGGAGAGAAAATGAGGAAGAAATTATTTGCTTTTCCAACAGAGACATGTCATCACCAGAGTTCACGGGAACGTGCATGTAAGCCTGTGTCTCACCCTCTGTTCTCAAGTGGTGTGGAAAAAACCGTGCTGAGTGTTAACACCACTGTGGACAACTTCAAATGATTGAGACCAACAAAACCAAAATTTGCCTGTGAAGATCTGCATAGAGATCTGAAGGTACTGGGTGATGGGACTGGGCCATGAAATTAATGAAATTCAGCACTGATAATTGTAAAGCAGAATGAAGCTATCTTGATATTATATATTCTGTGATGGAATCTGAACTGACTATGTCACTCAGAAATGGGGTTTAAAGAAATATCAGCTGAACCCTCACTTGCAATTAGAGAAGGAAAAAAGGAAAATTAATTTAAAGATATTTTAGGGTAGCAACAGAGGGGAAGAAAAATAAACAACAAACACCAGAAAACTGATGTATAAACGTTTGAGTTGACCCACTATGGCTGCTCTTATGTTCCTGTATAGAAGTAAGAAGGAAGCAAGACATCTCACTGATTCAGAATAACTTCTCACCCCAAAATCCATTTTAAAAAAGACTATCACAAGAGGGCTTTGTTTGTTTGTTGTTGGTTTTTTTCATTGTTTTTTGTTTGGTTTGGGTTTGTTGTTTTGTTTTGTTTGTTTGCTTCTTCTTTGTTTTGTTGAAGTTTTTTAATTTGTTTTATTTTGGTTTTTTTTATCCAGTGGATGAATGGCTGGCAGTAGGGAAAAGTTTCTTCAGTTCCTGGATATGTCCACCAGTATATCCTGCATTCTACAAAAGAGTTTACTTTGTAATTTTGAAGATAACATCCACTTCCATGGAACTGGCTGTTCCCAAAACGGATCAAAATGGATCAAGAGAGAAACACTGCAAGTTATAAGTTGTGGCACAAGTCCCTGAGAGAGTGGTATGATAATAGAAATGGATGTAGATAATAGAAATGGATGTAGAGAATAGAAATGGATATGGATAATACTTCACTAAAAAAGTGAAGACTTCTGATAGTTTTGCATATGCAGCATGTTCTCACAGCATGTGGTACTATAGCTTACTAACGCAAAAATCTTGTATTTCTTTGATAATGGGTTGATAAAACAGATAATAGGAAGGAAAAAAGGTCATTGAAATTTATGATGAGGTTAAACAACATCTACTACAGTTTTGCATGGATCTTTTGCACTGTGCACAAATTTTCATTCATATTCAGATGTTGTGGGTCAGTCTCTGTTTTCAAATACACCCTTTGGCAACCACGTAGCTGAGACGAAACACCCTGTTAATTGTGTACTTAATAAACCATATAGAGGACAACTCATGCAAATGAGAGCCAGGCTGCTACTCAGGCTTTGACAGCTAGTTAAATTCCAAAAATCCCAGGACAGTATCTAGAAAACCAGAAACCAAGCAAACAAATACCAAGAAACAAATGGGGAAAAAATATTAGTGGTCTTCTCAAGTAATGTGTCTGTTCCCCTGTTCATTTAATGTCTCATTGGGAAAAGAGTTCCTGTAAATTTTTCAGTAAGCAATTTATTAAGTATTTAGGTGCTTTCTCTGGGTAAAAGAGAAGCTATGTGGACACATTCATAATTTCTCATACAAACTGTGTCCTGGGAGGCAATAAGTATCTTTGACTATAAAAGCCACAGAGAACTAAAGAAACCCAAATTTGCTACCAAATCTCTTCTTTTGCATGTCATTCAGGCTGAAAAGTATTGCTTGAAGTTAACTCTAAAGTGCAGGAGATTCTTAGCAGTAAACAGCAAGGTCACACTTTGATCCAGGATACAGGTGATTCATATCACCTCCTTTTTACTTTTTCAGTAAGGTTCTCTTTTTCTTAAATATTGCAAAATAATGGCACCTTCTCTGGCAAATTCACCCAGCATAATAGTTACTGTCCCATATGTTTTAGAAAATAAAGAAAACACCCAGTGATATCATATGGTTTACCTTCTCAGGTGATTCAAAAAGATGATCCTCTAATTAGATCCATCTCAAGAATTCTCTGTTTGTTACTACAGCCCAGGCAGCTCTCTCAAAGGGAAACCAAAGCACAGGAACTTGAACAATTAGCTGAAGATGTTATTGCTGCCCAGAAAACGAGTTGCCTCTACAGCCTGCACTCAATTTTCAAGTGTGAAGCTGACCAGAAATGCCACTGCAGAAAAACCACAAGGCATTTCAAGAGAACATATTTCCTGATACCACTCATTAGGTAATACTCTTTATTTCCCCCTGCACTGATCTGAGCCCTTCAGTGTCTTGTCTTCATATTACATTGTCAAGTGGATTAACTTGTTCTGCTGCTGTTACTCACCTGCCTCATAATAACAAGAGAGGGTGTTGAGGACTGAAAGTGGTAAAATCATGCTTGGTAGCTATGGCAAAATGTCTGTGGGCTTTGATTTACACAGCAAAAGAGGGAAACCCTAAAACTTTCCTGCCCAAGCTGGCAGCATCCTCACTGTGGGCTGGACCTGGCAGGCATTTGGAGACATGCGTGGGTTCCCTTGGAGAAGCTGCACAGAGATGCAGACCTACAGCTCTGATAGTTACTGTGGAAGGTGGGGAGGAGCAGGAAACCCTCAGAAATCAGGGGAAACTCTGATGTGTTATATATGTTTCTACCTTAAACAAAATCTGTAGCCAGGAATCCACTGCACAAACAGGGGGACACCTGTCCCAGGAACAATGGGGCTCTTGTGCCTGCAGCATTTGATTGCAGCTGGTTCAGCAATGGAATTTGTTTCCACAGCAAGTGTGTGTGTGTGAAACAGTGACTCACTGAGTTTGTGCCATTTCAGTGGAAAATCCTGGGATTAAAACTCATCTCATGGGGGAATCTTTTTTAAACTATAATTGATTCAGGAGATAGGCCTATGGAAAGAGCTCCTGTTCCCCCCAGACCAGAAAAAATCCCTGTGAAGATCCTGATTTCTCATCAGAAGTCCAGGCTGAGGCAATAGCTCAAGGGACAGACAGCTGTGCCCCAGGATCTCCAGAGCCTGAGGACATGAAGGCCATGGAGGACACACCAGGACGTCCCAAAAGGGCACACATCTCCAAGGTAAACAACTGAGTCTAAGCTGTAAATGCCAATCATTTTCAGATGGCAGAAGAAAAACAGAAACAAAAATGTCAATAAAGTGCCTGAAGAGGTGGCATAGTTTTTCCCCTTCTATGCTACTTCCCAAATTAAGGGGTTGTGACATAGGGGCTGGCCTGGCAGTTACAACAGAGTCATGTTGCCAGCTGGCATTGCCTGTTTCAGGGGACCAGGAGGGATGGCTGTCACAGGAGCCCTGGGCAGAGTTCAGGTTGCCCTTGATGTTAACTGTCCAATGTAGTAGTGGTCATTTTTGTGTCACAAGGAGCTTGGACCAGGTTTTCAATCCTCTCTAAAATATCTGTGGTGAGTGTGCTGCTGGCCCCATTTCTAACAGCCCTAAGGCATGTCACAGCAATTTCCCTCTTGCTGGGTCCGAGTCACAGAAAAGCAAGATG